CTTATATTATACTTGAATCTCTTTAAGTAATCATGTTTTATCCTTTTGCTTATATTATATTTGAATCTCTTTAAGTAATCATGTTTTATCCTTTTGCTTATATTATATTTGAATCTCTTTAAGTAATCATGTTTTTTCCTTTTGCTTATATTATATTTGAATCTCTTTAAGTAATCATGTTTTATCCTTTTGCTTATATTATATTTAAATCTCTTTAAGTAATCATGTTTTATCCTTTTTTTCTTTTTACTTTTGGTATAAAAAAAATGTACAAAATGAGAAAAGGAATTTCATTGCAAATATAGAAAATTTTATTTCACCGTTACACAAGCAATACAAACCAACACCATGTTTGAATATATTCGTTAATAAGAATTTGACATTTCTCTAGACGATCATCACAAATAAAAGTTTAAATTTCTGATAAATAAAGAACATCATGCCAATTACACGTTTGAAAAAACAACAAAATATACCGTTACATCGCAGGGAAAACAAAGCAAAGCAAATAATTTGTGAAAACAATAAGGATTTTAAAGGATTTTTAGAAGATCTAGCTTACGTCACCAACTGTTTAAAAAACTGATCGTTAAAGCTTCTATCAGAATTTTATTTGTCTAAGCAATAGAAGGTAGTTAACTAGAGGGGTTTTGCATTGGACTTGTTTACACAGTCCAACTCCGACAACTAGCCTATTTTTACTTGATATAAGCAGTGATCTGTCGGAAGAATAACCTCAGTTCACCATCTGCGGAGGTATTCGTTTTCGGATATTAAAATTTTTTTATCGTTGTATACAAGGTAACATTTGCAAATGATAAATGAAATAGAACACGTGCACTACATAAAGAACATTAAGTTTCATTTACCGTACAGTTAGCAACACAATACAAGCAACGACTTTGAAAACATTATTTAGCGAATATACAACAAATAAACAAGCGACAGCAGCAAATAACTATAGATAAAACTTGAAAGTGCACTGAACGTCCAGGTAACGGACCCTTCTTAGAATTCAATTACTTTTTGCGAGAACAAAAAAACTTTAAAAAAACAACACAAGTTACTACAGTACGGTGCACAATGCGTGACTGAGTATTGTGTAAGAAATTATAAATGTTCAATACTTAACTGATATTTTCTGATTCTTAGGAAAGATTTTTAATAACTACAAATAAATAAATCTACACACATTCATCCGCGAATATCTACTCTGCATTAAACATTAATCATCATTTGTGTGTGTGTGTGTGTGTGTGAAATTCAATTATTATTGTGTTATTAAGTCACGTTTATTGAAAGACAAAGAGAATAAGGCAATAAAATAGTGGTTTTGGGTAAGAAATAAGGCAATTTGAGTAAAAGCAAAATGGTAAAGTCTTTATAGCACCAATTCATAGGTTTTCGTGACCAAAAACCTAAATTTTACTTTCCGTAGTTCCCTTTCTGCTGACCACCGCTATATGCTGCAGAATTAAATGCGCCGTTTACGATTCCTACACCATTGGTGTTACTTCCTCCATATCTTCCACCCTTTTGGTGGCCTCCGTTCCCGGCTCCGTAGCCAGTTCTATTTGCTCCGTTATTGCGAAATCCATTGCCATAGCTTCCGCCATTTGCTCCATTCTTCTGGTAACCATTGAGTATGTTGTTTAAATCTCGCTCTTGAAAGAGTGCAGCATTTAGATTATAGAAGCTTTCTGCAGTAGAGCAGTCAACATTGTACCACCAATCACAAACGAAGTACTGCTGATTGAATAAAGTTGCATTGGGACAAAGAAAACTGTCAGATCGTCCGTCATCTTGACAAATATGAAAAGCCTAAAGAAAGTACAATAAACACGTAAATTTCAAGTCATTCAAGATGCATTACCAAACAATGTTCCATAAACTCATATATATTTGATGGAAAATGTTTTGTTTATGTAAGAGTTTGACTTTTTTTGTCATGCAACATTTAACTGGAGAATTCCTTGCAGTATAAAACAACTGCATTTCGCGAAAAATAGTTAGAGAAAAGATTTTCATGTACCAGTGTATTAGTGTTTTCATTTAATTTGTTACACTTTCTTTAAATTGCTGTTTCATTTTGATCTTTATATCAAATAGAATGTGTCAATATTAAGATACTAAAACTCAAAACAATCAAACATGATTGACGTGGTATATGTATGTTCGATTAATTGAATACAAGGTACCTAAAGTTGTCAATTCCCTGAAAATATTTAATAACTTCTTGTTAGGCATTGTTTTTGTATAGTTCAAATGAAAGAATATAATTATACGAATTAAAGTGTAAATAAAAACTATTGGCCCGGCATGGCCAGGTGGTTAGGGCGCTCGACTCGCAATCTGCGGGTCGCGGGTTCGAATCTCCGTCACACCAAATATGCGTTATAATGTGATAGTCAATCCCACTATTCGTTGGTAAAAGAGTAGCCCAAGAGTCTTACACTGTTAAATTAGGGACGGCAGATAACCCTCGTGTAGCTTTGCGCGAAATTCATAACAAACCAAATAAAATTACATTTGGATTAAGATCGCTCTTTAAAACAGTCTATTTAATATAAACGTTTCATTTTTAAAGCTATTTACTATCTAGATATTCTTACACCTTCTTTTACCATAGTTACATGAATTATACACGAATAATGTTACCTGACACTTTGTTTCTGGATCAGCATAATAACCAGGAAACTCTTGATTGGAACACTGGAACTCAGTTTCGGGAACTTCAGCTAACACGGGAAAATCAACTCCTGGTTCTCCAAATGCTGCTAGTCCTAAATCTTCTTCATCCCCGATTTCTTTTTCTTCATATCCGCCGTATTTTGTCTGTCCATTCCTAAAAATTGACCCACCGTTTCTTCTAAAGGCATCAGTACTGTAACTGTTACTTCCATCTCTATAACTGTTTCCGTAGCCCCTTCGTACTCCAGCATTGTTACCATTTCCATAACCATTATTCACCCTAGCTCCGTTTCCACTCCCAAAAACACCATTTCCATAACCATTATTCACCCTAGCTCCGTTTCCATTCCCAAAAACACCATTTCCAGTTCCATATCCACCTTTTACACCAGCATTGTTACCATTTCCATAACCACTATTCACCCTAGCTCCGTTTCCACTCCCATAACCACCATTCCTTATAGCGCCGTTATTTCCATTCGTTCCAGCACCGTTTCCAGTTCCATACCCTCCTTTCAAGCCAGCATTGTTACCACTTCCATAACCACTATTCACTATAGCTCCGTTTCCATTCCCAAAACCACCATTCCTTACAGCACCGTTATCTCCATTCGATCCAGCACCGTTTCCAGTTCCATATCCACCTTTTACACCAGCATTGTTACCATTTCTGTTACCTCCGTTCAATCCATTCCTGATTTGAGTTTCATAACCTCCGTTTACCCCAGTGCGGATTTGGGTCTGATGACCTCCGTTTCTTCCAGCATTATTACTAGTAGCAAAACCTCCGTTCACTCCAGTACTGATATGAGTTCCATAACCTCCGTTTCTTCCAGCAGCATTATTTCTCACATAAGGCCCATTTTCATGGCTGTTGCTTAAATCAAAGCGATTTTTAGTGGTCCCACCATACCGAAATGTAGCTCCATTGTCTCTTCCTTCACCTTGAGATCCTATGGCGCCAAAGATTGACCCATAGCCTGCACCAGAGCTTGTGCTTTGTTGAAAACCGCCACTACTGTACGCTGCTCGTTTATCCTTAAAGTAAAAAAATATTCATATTGAATTGCTATCCATTGATATCCAAATAGCACAAGTTTCTTGGGAGACATGGTTATATCTCTACTGAAATAAATGCATTTTACACCATATAAAGTACGAACTTTTTTTTTTATTGTTAAGACCACCACCTCTCACCGAAAAAACAAACAAACAACAACACAAAGTTCATACATTTTTCCAGTGTTTCATTTAATATCAAGTTTTAAACATATATTCTCAAAGTGGAAAATACACGAGTTAACGTTTTGACGAAGCAGTAAGGAGTTTTTCAACGATAACTAACTTGTACATGTTGGACACAAAAATATCAGTATTACAGATTAGACTTACTGTGCATCTCAAAGCTGCTTGTGATATTTTAAAGTTAAATCTAATATCAAAGGGGAAAAAAACCCTCCAGGGTTCTGTTGTGAAGAGAACAGGTGTTTTTTTATTGAATGGTTAAATACATTATGATGACGTAAACAATATATTTTAAAATAAGTATAGTACATATTGCACTTATTTTCGCCAAAAGTGTTTAACAGTTACCGCTAGATGTCGTATGTGATCTCGGTCATTTAGGTGCATGTTCACTGTTAAACACAAAGATACACAATGGGCTATTTATACCCTGCAGCTTCAGGTATCGAAACCCGATTTATAAGCCTTTAGACGTACCGCTGAGCTACCGGTGGACGGGGGAGGGGGGTAACAATTTTCTATGTTCGTTATTACAGACTTCTTTTTGTTATGCTGAACGTACCACAGGTTCTAAATAACAATAACAGCTGTAGAGGTGAATTAGCGGTTCAAGGTAAAATATCTCACTAGCGCACTTGCAGAACCTAGCTTGTTTTTTATGGATATGTACTCAAAACATTTGTTCAAAAGATGTTATTATATTTTATATCACTTCAAATGGTCTTCCGGTGGGACAGCAGTAAGTCTTCCCATTTACAGTGCTAAAATCAGGGCTTCGCTATACCAAAAAAACACACACACCCTTCAAATAATAGAACCTTAAAATAATGCTAATTTTTACTTACTCTTTCAAAACAAAGACCCAATGATAGGAATCCTGAAATAAAACAAAAACGTATCTTAGGCAAATTCTCTTACACTTTACTAAGTTATGTTTAATAGATTTAAAAAGTATCACAGCAAAAACAAGCAGATGTAGCATTTTAAAGGAAATAGTTTATTTTGTCTTAATGAATCTAAATCTAACTTCTTAAATTAGCACGCACTGTGGTGTGATTTCAATTTCAAGCCTAAACGTATGGAATATTTGTAAAATGTTATAGAAATATGCGATGAATATTTGCTTATAAATTAAAGATAACAAATACGGTAAATATTGATTGAAAATGATCAAACTCATCCTTACCTAGTAGGACTAAAGCTGTTCTTGAATTCAATAACATTCTTTTTTTTTGGATTTTAACTGTGAGAAAAAAAATATTACATTGAAAATTTCCAGTAAAAAATAACGACTGTATCGAAAGATACTGAAGCAAAAAACGATTTTAAATATAAAAGAAAAAGACTTGATGAACAGTAAGTATCAGATTATTCATATATTATCCTTTTAATATTGTAAGTATGGCAAATGAGTCGAAATTATAATTCGATTACACGAGTATGTTATCTGTTTCATTTGCTAATGTTTGCAGGCTAAACTCGCAGGCTAAACTCGATTGATAACTCATGATTACACGGTAGAACGTTTCGAAAGTTGATCGTTTGAACAATAATTTACAGGTTTGCGTAATCAACTACTATTCAAACAGTTTAAGAAAAGTTGCGACAGAGGTTTTGTTTTATGAACTGGATGTTACTCGTTTAGACTGTATTGAAACGTGTGCTAACCTCTCGATCTCGAAGAAGTAAACGTAATCCGTGTGAATCCAAACATTTAAACGACAAAAAAAAAGTTGCACGTGCACAAGATTATCAACAATAACAATTCAAAAAATATCTATTTTAGTAATTTAGATTAGACGAATAATTTTTGTTTGTGTGTTATTAAGCATAAAGCTACACAATTGGCTGTCTGTGCCGTGTCCATCATCGTTATCAAAACTCGGTTTTTAGTGTTATAAACCTTTAGGATTACCGCTGTGCTACTAGGGGAGCGGGGATTAGAACAATCATGACCAAAACTAATGAAGTGTCAGATTTAATCTAGAACCTAACGAAGAAATACCTAAAAGAATTATCTTAAATTAAAGCAAAAAATATTTATAAAACTATTTATGTATTTATTAATCAAAGTATACCTAGCATAAGTTGAAAGTTCTTGGAAGATTTGCTGCTACATTATTTGTACCGAATGAAAAATTCGCACACATAAACACATGTATCATTAGTCTGTTTGTTTGTTTCAAGTGAAGCACAAAGCTACACAATGGGCTATCTGTGCTCTGCCCACCACGGGTATCGAAACCCGGTTTCTAGCGTTGTAAGTCCGCAAACATGACGCTGTGCCTCTGGGGGGGTGTATCATTAGTAAGAAAAATAATACGTGAAGTATTTCTAATTAGAAATTTTATTTCTGTTCTCACATCTTGATGACATATATTCTATTTTAAGCTGGATAATATAAAGCATTAAGTATAGTATTGAAATTTATATTCCATTTTAAGCTGGATATTATACAGCATTAAGTATAGTATTGAAATTTATATTCCATTTTAAGCTGGATATTATCAGCATTAAGTATAGTATTGAAATTTATATTCCATTTTAAGCTGGATATTATACAGCATTAAGTATAGTATTGAAATTTATATTCCATTTTAAGCTGGATATTTTCAGCATTAAGTATAGTATTGAAATTTATATTCCATTTTAAGCTGGATATTTTCAGCATTAAGTATAGTATTAAAATTTATATTTCATTTTGAACGCTGCTAGAGTGCGCTAATATTTGCAACATTATCAAATATTAAAATAAGAAATTACATATTGTAGCGATTTAGTTACAATAGTCATAAACTAACTTATATAAAATTTTGATATATAAACCAAAATTCTTGTAATTATGGGATAAAATATAAAAATACAACTTTCATTTTTCGGAAGTTTGCGTAAATGGATAATAAAAAGCCATGGTATCAACTCTTTCAGAATATTTGATTTGACTCACCTTAACTGACGTTTTCTCAGAACTGCTTGAGCTATCTGCGTGAGTTTTCTATGGTTCTTTGGAGATGTCAGGTTATAGCGATTCATGGGACTGCCGGACTTTATATACCCTCAGAACGCTCCAGTTTCGGAGCATCTTCAGTTTGCCCCACTTTCAATTTCTTTGAGTTGATCGCGTCACCTTCAACCTACAATGAAAGTGAATTACATTCTTTTTTTGTGTGTGTGCTCGAGGCTATGTATTATCAAACCAACCTATCACGGCTTCACGAGTGTGTTAGCCGTAAAACTTCATCATATTTCATGAAGTTCATCTCCTTCTGTCAATGATTTGTTTCCAGAAAGAAATGTGGAGCGCGAGCAGTCCTCCTGATACTGAAGGACTATGTAATTATTCTTTGTGAGTGGGTATGTGTTTGGTTCAATGTAAGTGAACACATTGTGTACATAGGCCTAACAGTATGTGTGGGTACAATATCGAACAGCTGTGTTTGTAAATATATTTAGTATGGCAATATGAGTCTCTAAAACATAACTATATTTTAGTTGTCCGAAGATATATATATTGGCTGTATTTAATACTGGTGCGTTTGTGCATATTCCGATAAAAAATGACTTTGCACAATATAAAATAACAAGTATACATTTTTATGATAATATTTAATAAAAGGTGTTCCGTGCGGTTTATTTACTTGCACAGTGTCTATGTATTGTTCACATAAATAAAAAGGTTGTTTTAACCTTTTCTTACTATGCTTGATTCAAACAGAAGTTTAAATTTAAATGCTTTAAAGCCGTTTTTTTTACAGATACTTAATTGATTAAACCTAAATTAGAAGTTCCCCTTGGACAAGTTATTTTGAAATTAACATAAAAGTAAATACTTGTACACGTTTTACATGAAATGAGGATGACAGGTTAGGTGTGCCCCATTATGTTGATATCTGTAGCGATATACATTCGGCACTGTGGGGGGGCTAACGTTTCCATACACCTGGTATGAGTTCACTCTATTTAAGTGCGAATAAAGTAATTTGAAATCAGAAACTAAAATCCTTTAAAACGCAATCGTTATCGTAAATGTTTTTTCATCTGAATGGCTCCTTTTGGGTGAGAAAAATTATTTTTCAGTTCCAGGGGCGATATCAAGAGGAGAAACCCGCTACCCCCAACATATGTGCCTGCTTGTTCGTCTCTCCAAAATATTTTCTTACAAACTGAAACAGCCTCTAATAGACGATATTAAAATAACGAAACTGGCGTTGTTGAAAAATAAAATATACTTCGTAACGGCATGGCCAGGTGGTTAGGGTGCTCGATTCGCCATCTGCGGGTCGCGGGTTCGGATCCCCGTCACACCAAACATGCTCGCCCATTTAGCCGTGGTGGCGTTATAATGTGACGGTCAATCCCACTATTTGTTGGTAAAAGAGTAGCCCAAGAGTTGGCGGTGGGTGGTGATGACTAGCTGCCTTCCCTCTAGTCTTACACTATAAATTAAGGACGGCTAGCGCAGATAGCCCTCGTGTAGCTTTGCGCGAAATTCATAAAAAACAAACAAACTAAAAGTGGGTAGAAAAACCTCTTAGATTTTCTTAAT